TCATTCTTCAGCAGTTCACCTGCAGCACTAGGCTGGGAGACTTGATGAGCCTTAGAGAAGAGTTAAGCTTCTCAGGAAACAGTATTATAAGATGGAAAAGAAGCCAATAGCATTCATCTGAAGCAATGCTCAATGGAAAAGACATCTGAGATGCCACTGATGGATTATTTTATAATTTAATGGATTAAATGTTTCCTTTGCAGGTTTTATCTGAAAGGAGCTAATTCCGCTAAATGCACTGAGGAAGGAAAATGGAGTCCGGACCTTCCTGTCTGCGCTCGTGAGTCTGTGGGTCTCACTTATAGGGAAGGTGACCAGTTGGTTTGCCTGGCAGTTTCCAGGTTTTCACTCTAAGTTCTACACCCTGGAAACCCCTCAGTCCCAGCTCAGTGGGATGGTTGGTCACCTTTTGGGGGACTGTTCATCCTGATACCTTACTCTACAAGATGAAACAACCACTTTGGAATGATAAGCCCTAACCCTAACCTTAACCGTAGCTGTAAACCTAACACTAACATTGAAACTCCAGGTTAATTAGATCAGGTTGACAGCGCACTACTGAGTCTCCATGTGAAGTTACTTGTAAAAGCTCTGTCAACAAAGTTACAAAAGCAGGAGGTATTCAGAAGGAGGGAACAAAGCTGAGCTAGCACCAAGAGGTCACTCAGATGCCACAAATGACTTGTACCAAGCTGCTGTCATCAGCAATTATTGCAGGATGGTGCCTCAGCCAAGTCCTTCACCAAGTCTGACTTCCAGACGCATCTTCCAAGGTAGCATCTGGATTAGAGACATACGGTAACCTAAGCATTGTGGTCCTGTAACAGGCAAATTAGTGGTGGCAAGACTTAAACTTACTACTTTTTTAGCTTTTTGACCGGTTCAGACATCTGATTTTCAGATCATATTTTCTTATTTGGCTTCTGTTGACTGTTTTACCCTGGCATTTGATCAAATTTTGCATTTTCTCAAGTAAATCTTTGGATTTTTTCCCCCTTTCTTTAAAGAGTATATTTGAAAGTCTCAACTATTTTCATAAAAATGATTGTTCTTTCTTTCTTCAGCTATAACCTGCCCTCCACCATCCATACCTAAGTTTGCAAAACTTAGTGCTTATAAGCCATTGGCTGGAAACAACTCACTCTATGGAGGCAAGGCAGTCTTTGAATGCTTGCCACACCATGCAATGTTTGGAAATGACACAGTTACCTGCACACAACATGGAAATTGGACTGAACTACCAGAATGTAGGGGTAAGTGCCATGATGAGACAAAACAATCATGGTCGTGTGGAATCTCTTTTTTGAAAAGGACTGAAAATTCTAGTATCATGGAGTGTTTCAAATGACGCTGTTCAATGAGTATTTGTTAGCATCTATCATGTGCCAGGTAGTGTGCTAACCATTGGGGATACCAGATGACCTCAGGAAAATGATAGATAATGCAATGAACTACCTGGAGCTGCCTGGTAAATATTCCCAGAGGAAAGTCTTAGAGGAGGAGTACAGAATGAGGGAAAGGCATGCCACCTAAGGGCACAGGCTGGGGAAAGTCAGGGGGGCATGAAAGAACAAGGTGTGTGCATGGATGTCTGAATATTATGGTGAGGATGGTAAAGAGAGGCCTGGAGTAAATTGAGGGGTCTTAAGAGATAAAGGTGAAAATTGAGTTGCAGTCAAATTGGTATAAGCTTCTATAGTCTTTCCCTAAAGTTAGGAATCATAAGAATATTTGATTTTAAAAATATGTATGAAAATTCTTTCTCCTTTAATTTGACCTATTATTACCATCTTTGAATTTGTCAACTGCATAACAAGTAGACAAATTATAGAGTTTATCACGCACATGAGGAGTTATACCAAGGACTGTTAACGTCTCCTGTAGTGGATGGATAGACAGATATCTTTTGAATATTTTAAACACAAGTGCTTTCCAGCATAGGGAAACTATCAATAATAATATCTAGAAACCTTTCGGAGGACTTAACTCTGGGCCAGGCACAGGTCTCTTGCTGTATATGTGCCATCTCATTTAACTCTCCCAAGTCTTCAGCAGTGGGTTTTTCTTTTTTTCCTTTCTTCAAACATTCACATAAATACATCAGCCGTCAGCATGTTGTGACATTCTGTCTCTCTTTCTTTCTCTCTCTGAAAACATACTTTTTTTCCCTGAACCATCTGAAAATAAGTTGTACGCATCATGACACTTATACCTGAATATTTCAACAGCATGAATGTCCCAAGAACAAGGACCTTCTCCTATGTTATCACTGTAGCCAAGACATTTAACATGTTTTGAATTATTAGCCATAACAATTTAAGCAATTATAGTATATACAAATGACAGTATTTCCTTCATATGCAAATTGCCTCAATCCATCCAGAAGTATCCTTCGTACGTATGTTTACTTTTATGTGAGATCTAATCAAGAATCACACATTCCATTTAGATGTCATACCTCTTTAGTCTCCTTTAATGAAGAATGAGTCCCTGCCTTTTCAGTTGTCTTTCAGTGACATTGTTGAAGAGTACAGGTCAGTTGTCTTGTAGAATGTTCCATAATCTGAATTTGACTGCTTATTTACTCATGATTAGATTCAAGTTAAACAATTTCATTAAAAATACATTCCATCACATCAGAAGGCACACAGTGTCAGCCCATCACTGGTCCTGCCGAATTTAATCTCTTGGTCAGGTGGGCTGTGCTGGTATCTTCTCTTGGTAAAGGCATCCCGTCCTCTTTGGAATTAATAAGCTACCTGTGGGTGATACTTTGAGATTGCGAGAATACCCACTTTCTAGCAGTCTTTTTAGCATCCATTGATAATCAGTGACTCGGTCAATTAAGACATCGGTGGTTACAAAACAGTGGTTTTCTAATTTTATCTTTCCATCTATATTTATCAGCTGGAATTCTTTTATAGAGAAGAGTTTTTCTTCCATGGAAACTATTTCTTTTTAGTAGTATTATAAACTCATGGATTCTTTTTCATTCAATTTGTGGAAGAGCCAAAACTGATCCAAGCAGTCCCACTTGGGACTTTGTCCTCTTGAATTACCTAATTAGACCACCAAACAAGAGCTCTCTGCTCCTGCCTCCAGCCCTGCTTTCTTGTACCGGGGTAAATGGATTTGGGGCTCTGCCGCTGAGGATCTTAGGAAGGCCGGGGGCAGCACCATTTTTCTCCTTTCTGTTTTATGCTGGCTTCTTGTGTAGTCTGAAGACAATCATAAGAATTAGATTTATCATTTAAAATCCAAACAATGGTGTTCTAGTGTGCATGGAGGGAGCCTTTGTGTTTTAATTTCATGGTCTGTTTGAAAGAGACAAACTTTTTTTTTCTTTCAAACCCACAATCTTAGACTGTGTGGAGATGAAATTTGCAATAAATAATACTGCATGATTATGTGAATGCCCAAAGAACTTGGTGACTCATTACTTTACTTTCAAAGTGTTGTTGTTTCTATTTTAGTATCCAAGGTCCCATAAGTATAAGATAACTGGGACAGAATTAAGCGCCAGGGTACCCCGACATTGCATTCTAGTCCCAGGAATACCCAGTGATTCAATGGTGTAATAGACAGGACTGTAACTGTTTCATAACTGCTGGGTCACGCTGCTATTTATACTAATATGTCTTATTGCATAAACTTTTTAGAAGTAAAATGCCCATTCCCATCAAGACCAGACAATGGATTTGTGAACTATCCTGCACAGCAAGTACTTTATTACAAGGATAAAGCCACATATGGTTGCCATGATACATACACCCTGGATGGACCAGAAGAAGTAGAATGTAACAAATTCGGAAACTGGTCAGCACATCCAAGTTGTAAAGGTATGAAATACGGGTCTTAAACCATCTCTGAATTTATCCAGGGAATCACCTTTACTTGCCATTTTCTTGTTCCAATCATTTTCCACTTCGTTTCTCAGACTTGCTTCACAGCTTTTGGCACGTGAAAGTTCTGGGATTTATATGTGCATGGGGAAGCTTCATGCATAGTGAGTTTATTTGAGATTAAACAGAATAAAAGAAGCGTATCTGTTGTAAGCACAGATAATATGGTGGAAGGCTGTGCGGGCTTCTGTAATAAAGTCTGTCCACGAGCATCCCTTCTTTGCTTTGTTCTAGTCGAGACTCCTCTCGTGGCAAAAACCAGCCACACTTTCAAGCTAGTTCCAGGAGATGGGGGCTAATTACAAATGTGCAATGGGCAATCACATGGACATTGAAGATGAGGAAATGAAACACAGCTGGTCCTCCTGAGGGCTGGCACTAAAAGGCGGGAACTATTGCTACTCTTTCTATATCTCATTGGCCTCACGATCTCTCTCATATCTCTGTGCTTCTCTGCTTACCCTCCTTGAACCTGGCTTAATTCTACACCACTACCTCTCAACTAAAGGATTCATCATCACTCACTGGAATCTTTTCCCTGAGATGCTGGTTCCTTTTGAGTTGGGTGTCTGTGATCTGGTCAGTGCCGTGCTTTTACAAAAAACAACCACCTTGCACTGCACTGGTGCTCAGGTTGCTGTGGGCTAGACTGTTTAAATAGCAAACAAAATTAGGCGCTAGAGGCAAAATGACGTATAACTAGGTCGGGGTCCCCTAGAAGCAAAGCCTGAGCCAGGGATTCAAGTACTGTTGATTTATTAAGTGAGTGTCTTGGGAGAAAGAGAGTGAGGCAGGTAGGATGGAGAAGGGCACTGGTTCTCAGACTTCACTGTGTATCAGAGTCCCCTGGGGGGCTTGTTTAAACAGAGTTTCTGATTTGCTGGATCTAGGCTAGGACCTGAGAATTAGCATTTCTACCAAGTTCCTAGGTGATGCCAATGTTGCTGACCCAAGGACCATGTTTTGAACAAGTATGTGATCTCAGCTAGAGTCTAGCTTCAATTTAATCCCCTGGGAGCTCTGGATCATGAATTTTACCCCAAAGTAGATCCCATAGAGACGCTAGGGGACCTGCTCATTTTTATCCCCCTGTCAATCACACGTAGGCTGTGGGCTGCTCCCTTCCCTGACCCTGGAATTGTGGGCTGATGTGCATCCTCTCCTGGGAGCAGTGGCTCCCTTATGGCTGAAGGCAAATTTTCAGAGAAAGGAGCATTTGTGAGCTGTTATCAGCCAACATTCACAGTGGCTAGTAGATGGATGCACTCACTCAATAAATGGGATCAGAGTGGGGCAGGGGAGGCTTACAGGAAATGGCAGTGTCTGATGGGGAGTTTTCACTGAAGTCTAGAATCTCATGATTCTGCGCTGACACTCATTTGTGGCTACTATTGGGGTAGAAAGGTGATCTTGGAAGCCATGGTTAATGGTTCTATGGATAAAGAACTGCAGTGAACAATGATACTGATGTTATTGACTTTTGCATTCTTAGAAGCAATTTGTTTCAGGTCTGCTCATCTACGGGTTCAAATGCTTAGGAAAGAGGAAATGAACTCTTAAGTTTTGACTACAAATATTGTCTCTTCCAGCATCTTGTAAATTATCTGTTAAAAGAGCTACTGTGATATTTGAAGGAGAGAGAGTAACTCTCCAACAAAAATTTAAGGATGGAATGCTGCATGGCCAAAAAATTTCTTTCTTCTGCAAAAATAAGGAAAAGAAATGTAGCTATACAGAGGATGCAGAGTGCATAGACGGCACCATTGAGATCCCCAAATGCTTCAAGGGTGAGTTTCAACACTGGAACTTTTAGCGAGCACTTCTGCTTGCCCTTTACCATTTTCAGTTCTTTTATTACATAATGACTAAAAGAAGCCATGTCAATTTGGCCACTGGATTTTTTAAAAGAGTGGGGCAGGAGGAAACAGCAAAATGAAGCAGTAAGCTGCATTCAGTTTCTCCACTTTCTCTTCCAATTCTTTTCCTTAAAACTCAGGGTTTTAGGGTTTTTTTGTTTTGTTTTGTTTTTCTTAATGGAGGCACTGGGGATTGAACCCAGGGACTCATGCATGCCAAGCATGTGCTCTACAGTTGAGCTATACCCGGACCCTCAGTGTTGTGGTTTTATTTGAATGAATGTTGAGGTGAATTATGCCATCTTGTGTAATTCCAGATTATGCTTGAATAATAATAATAATTATTATAATAGTAATAATAATAATAATAATATTGAATGGAATATCAAATCATAATACCTCTTAGTTCCAAATGATAAAGAACTAACTCCAAATTACAAATTAACTTATGTCAACGGTAATTGGTTTATAGGTCTTCGAACATTTTTTCCATCCTCCAGCAATTCCTAGTGTTTGAAAAGTACCCATTAGAGCAAAGTATTCATTAGAGCAAAATATTTTAAGGAAGAGGATATTGTGTTTGTATGAGACAAAGAATGTATAATGGTCAACATTTAAACCTTTTAAGGTGTCAGGTTTCAGGTTTAAATATGCTTGTTGCTATGAGGGAAGAACTAGCTGGAGGCTGAAGCTGCTGCTGCCTCTAGGCTTAGAAATGCTTCAAGTATGTTGACAGCCCGGTATCAGCAGGCTGGTAGAGGGAAGAGTTGGGAGTAGATTAGAGAAGAGAGGGTTCTAAGAAGTGGCCAGCTTGAAAGAATGATGGGAATGATAACTAGCAAATAGTACCCACCTCACAGGTTTGATGACTAGAAATATTATCCATGACTTGGAATAAGTGCTCAGTGATACTAATAATGGTTACTATCATTGTAATTACAAATTGCTAGAAATGCACTGGATAAATTGTTATTGTTCGAAATATAGCAGGGCCCTGGTGAGATGTTCAATACTAAAAGTGACAAAGCGCAAGAATCCTAGAACATATCAGCAGAAAAAATATTAGCAGAGGATAATTTAAAAAACCAAACAGAGCTTTGTTAATGTATTTCTCTGGGCTGCTCTCTTTTTGAGTCTTCTGGCATAGGCAGCACTGTTAGTGCGTTGCGGAATAAATAAAGGGCCGATACGGGGTTTTTTTCCTTTTAATCTTAACTGTCAGAATTATATAGAACTTTTTATTTTCTCTTTGGAAACAAGTGCCTTATCATTTCCCCGATGCTTTCTTGAATCTCTTAAACCTCACACTAAAGGGTTTCGTTCATGTTATTAGATTTATTCTACCCATTTGTAAAATACATTTGATTTGGCTTAGCTATTTAACACATTTAAGAAAGGACTTGTTTCTCTCAGAATGTTTTATCTTTTTCTCCCCAAACAGAGCACAGTTCTTTGGCTTTCTGGAAAACGGATGCATCAGATGTAAAGCCATGCTAAGCTGGTTTTCAGATTCAAAATTAAATATCATACTTGTGTGTGTTTGTCCAAGGCACCTAATGGAACGGGAAAAATAAAGTGACTGAATTTATTGTGTCGGTCATCGCAGTGTTACTCACCGTGGCAGCTTACTTTTAGTTATATTACCTGGTTAAGAAGCCCAAATATTTGGAACATTGTCATTGATGTTCCAAATCTGTGTTCATTGCTATGGACATTCAGTGTTCATTGCTATGTTCATTGGCTATGAAATGGAAAGTGTGAACAATTACCTGGGTAACCCCAGTTCGCCCCCTCCCTAATTCTCCTCTTAAGTGCTTTCACCTAAAGCAACTGCAATATTTTTCATAGAATGGTCCGAAGACCCTTGCATCAGTATCACCTGATACTTATTACAGAGGAAAAAATACTGTGTCCTAGAATTTCCAAGGATGGCCCCTCCAAATGTGCATTTATGACAAAGCCCCCAGATAGTTATTTGCATTCTTAAGTTTGAGAAGCATAACCATAGAGGAATGCATAGACTCCCAGGTCAGTAGAACTGGATCTGAACTCTTAATGTTTGGTTTACATAATGCCTAAAAAAAATCTTCCCTTACCTGCGGAATTCTAGGATCCATCACTGACATTGCTCCTTTGTTTATATTCAACTTCCTTGCTCTTTTCTCCTTCCATAGCACATGCTGGCAAACCCCACCCCAGGCTCTAGCTGCCTTTTCTATGCCTGCACTGGAGCAGGTGAACATTGCTGGGGAAAAAAAAAGAAAAACTCACAATTATGCTAACAGGTCCCACCTGGATTCATGAACATAAACCTCATGTAAGCCCCTCGCTGTGCCTGGCAATCCTACCGTATTTCTCTAGTTTGTTTATCCCCCAACTGGCCACCTGGCTGTTTCTCTTCTCAACTCTCCTAAAGCCACCTTCTCTCTCCTCACACTGACCTGATGACCTTGGTCCTTATTTCAGTGAGAAAATAGAAAAGACCCCTTTTTAATCTTTCCACAACCAGATCTATCATCTCGCCAGCATCTGTACCAGGTTCTTTGCCTTCTGTCTTGTTATGATGGATGAACTCTGAGATCCCATCCAAGGGCAAACCTGATGCCCAGCATCCCATCTTATGTTTCCCATTTAAGAATTTTGCTTTTGTGATGAATGGTCTTCCATTTTTATTTTTTCCATTTCTATTGGAGCACTTCTGTCAGCATATAAATATGCAGTAATACCACCAATTAAAAAAAAACCTTCTTGTGACTTCACATCTTTTTCTAGCTACTGCTCCATCTCTTTACCCCTTGTTTTTATAAAAGTCCCAGAAAGAGTTATTTATCTTTGCCATCTCCATTATATACTACCCATCACTAGTCTTAAGATTCGTCTCCCCCAGAGATACGTCCTCGGTGATGCTTCTTCATCAGGGCTTGACCTGCCCCTCGTGAGATACGGGCCAGCTCGCTTCTCCAAGATGCTCTTCTGCTCCTCCTCCTTTTACAGACACCAGATTGCCATTCAAAAGTTCCAAATTCCCATTACTTAACTTTCAAAGACAATTTTACTTTTTCTCCCTCAATCCTTTTCTGGGATATCGCCCCTCTTCCCCAGTCTCTCTCTGTCTCAACCTCTCTCGCCTTCTCCCCTCTCCCTCCATATCCCCTCCTTTCCCTTCTCTTTCTACTCTCTCTCTTTCCTTCTTTCTCCTCTCTTTGTGTATTGGCGGTTAGGTTTGAGAGTGTGTGGTGTTGGTGCCTCCCCTTCCTGAACCAAAAAGCCACATTTATTGATATTGCTGAACAAAAGAACCATCCACCTTGGATCTCCTCCCTTAGCACAACATTCTCTGTAAGTCTGTTTTTAAATTTTTTTTAGTTTTTAAAATAAAAAATGGGGTTACGTAATTAATTGTATTTTATTATTATTATTATTATTATTATTATTATTATTATTAATGAAGTCACTGGGGATTGAACTCAGGACCCCATGCTTACTAAGCACACACTCTACTGCTGAGCTATACCCTACCCCCTACATCTATAAATCTGTTTGTACTTTCTTATATACACTGATTTATTTCACTTTTTAGATTCCACATATAGGTGATGGTATATAGCATTTGTCTTTCTCTGTCTAACTTATTTCAATAAGCATAATACCCTCCAGCTCCATCCATGTTGTTGCTAATTGCAAATTTTTATTCTTTTTATGGCTGAGTAGTATTCCATTGTATGCTTATACCATACCTTCTTCATCCAGTCATCTGTCAGTGGACACTTAGGTTGCTTGCATGCCTTGGCTATTGTAAACAGTGCGGCTATGAACATTGGGGTGCATGTGTCTTTCCCAACTAGTGAAGAAAACAGGCAGAACATTCCTTGACATAAATTATAGCAATATTTTTTTGAATCTGTCTCCTAAAGCAAAGGAAATAAAAACAAAAAGAAACAAATGGGACCAATATAAACTTAAAAGATTTTGCACAGCAAAGGAAACCATTGGCAAAGCAAAAAGACAACCTACTCAATGGGAGAAAATATTTGCAAATTATATGACCAATTAGGGGTTAATGTCCAAATATATAAACGGCTCATACAACCCAACATTAGAGAAACAAAAATAAGCAGAAGACCTAGATGGACATTTTTCTAAAGAAGATGTACAGGTGGACAACAGGCACATGAAAAGATGCTCAACATCGTTACTCATCAGAGAAATGCAAATTAAAACCACAATAAGATGTCACCTCACACCTGTCAGAATGGCTGTCATCAAAAAGACCACAAATAACAAATGTTGGGGAGGATGTGGAGAAAAGGGAACCCTCATACACTTTGGGTGGGAATGTAAAGTGGTGCAGCCACTATGGAAAACAGTATGGACGTTTCTCAAAAAACTAAAAACAGAACTACCAAATGATCCAGCAATTTCACTCCCGGGTATTTATTTGACCATATAGTTTCTTTTAAAACTGTTCTGCTGAAATTTTAAATAAGGATTCACCAGATTGAACTTTTAATAGATTATTCTGTAGAAAAGCTCCTGGGATATGACAAGTTTGTTGAGGATGGATTTTTGCATCATTTTGTTCATCAGAAGGCATTTGAGGCTGCTGGATAGGCTTGGGTCCCCGAAAAATTAATCAAAGTAGACTTTAAAGCTTAAGCCATAGTAATGATTCCTCTAATTTAGTGATCTTTTCACAGAAAGGAAAATCTGCTATTTTTTCAGTCTGATTAGGCAATTTGGATTAGAGGAGCCCATCAGTAGACATTGCCCAATTGCAGCCCTTATGTTTAGTGATTTTG